TGACCACCAGGTGGTTTGCCTGTGTAAATTATTCCAAACAGAGGATAGCCATCGGATGTGTTACACAACCAAAATATTTTAATGCCATATTTTGCCGGCTTTGATGGAATGTATTGGGTAAAACTGGTTCGTCCTCTAAATGGGAATAACTGCTCATCCACTGTAACGTTTTTATCCGGATAATAATTTGTTTGTAGATTCTTCATCAGCATATTCCAAATATCGGAGATAGGAGCGGCTTTGTCTGTTTCTTTGCGTGCTGATCTCGTAAACGCGTTATCAAAGCGAATTACGCGTAGTATTTGCTGAAATCTATCGCGACTTAACGATGCTTTGTACAATGGATGACTGTGATTGCCCCAAAGCGTTGAAGGAGGATCATCGCTAGCCCCATTTATACCCATAACCAGCAAAACTCCAATAAAAGCATTAAGTTCTTCCATTGTAATTAGACGAAACTCGCGAGGTTTTACCTTTTGAATTGCAATATCGGCTGCATTATTCCGGTTGAAATCCAATGCTACTTCATTGCCTTTCTTGTTGCTGTGTCTGATGATCTCATTTTTTATGTTATCTGTCATAAATTCATCGAAAATTTCCTTAGCTGTCATCACTCTAGTAAATTTGCGATGCGGTCCACCTAAACAATGAACAATAAAATTACTGCTACTACACTTATATTTCTACCCACCTTTGTTGCGCAAAACATTTTGTGATGGAGTTTGAACACTTCGTAGTTCTTGGGAATACCATTCAGTCTGGTCAGTTGCTACATATTTCTCAGTAATTACAGGAACTTCGCCACGCAATTCAAATTCGTTGTCTTCTTCTTCCTCTTCAGCCTCAACGACACCTTCCATTTCTATATCCGAGGCTTCATCTTCATCAGGAACCCATTCGTCATCACTGCCACACTCATATTCGATTGGCTCGGTTGTTTCGTCGTCTTCTACTTCCGTTTCACACAAGATATCAATATCTTCGGCGGTCAAACTAATCCAAAGTCGCAAAAAACAAATTAAATAATAGTCAATAAACTAATCAACTTAACTTACGCGGATATATTTAGATAACCACTTCTCCATGGTAAATGGTCTATATTCCTTAATGATGATACATTTCTGGTTTTTGGAGATTGCGTAGGGTGAGATGGCCCAGCAGCACATGGTGTAGCACTAGATGATGGCCCCGCACCAGAAGATATACCTTCAGACACTTCCATTTCCATAACAGATGCATTACGTTTGCGCGACATCGAAAAAACTTAATAAAAACAAAATAAACCAAGCAACACAAACTGTGAATCCGAAGAGAGAAACAAAACGACGCGCTCACACACAATATTGAAGCAACTGTACAAGCCAAAGCCCAAACACATACTGACAATGCGAAGAGAAACGAAACGACGCGTGCGCACAGAATCAAAAATTCACAGTTTCCATACAAAATACACACGGGTACCCGGGTACCCTTATCAGGAGTCTACGTATGTAAAAGTTATCAGGACGGTTAGGGTTAAACGAATAACAATAAAACGCTTGCTGTCGAAACACAATCAACTGGTTCAACGTGCCATTTCGGTGGTAGTGTGATTTGAGCACGGGGTTGCCAAAGGTAACTGCAAAATTTCCAGTCATACAAGCACATAGGAATGACGGCAACTGTCCGTTTCAAGACCCGTCCGTTTCATAGCGGTTTTCCCCTATATAAAAAGAATCAGTAGTAATAAGCACTTAATTTTTTTAAATGTAAATTATATTATTTTAGTCAGCTTTTGGTAGTCTCGAGAGTAGAGAAGCAAAGCCGTTTCTAATTCAAAATGTGTGTAGGATAGTGTACTGATATGAATAAGTGAGCTCGATGGCGCTTGGTTGATGGTAGATGTGTGTAGTTGAGGTGTGAATATGAAGAAGTGTTGTGTGGGGTGTTAGAGGAGATGGGGTTGTGTTGTGTAGACGTCAGTGGGGTTGATTTTTGGTGGATTGCGTTCGTGTGCGTGTGTGTGTGTGTGTGTGTGTGTGTGTGTGTGTGTGTGTGTGTGTGTGTGTGTGTGTGTGTGTGTGTGTGTGTGTGTGTGTGTGTGTGTGTGTGTGTGTGTGTGTGTGTGTGTGTGTGTGTGTGTGTGTGTGTGTGTGTGTGTGTGTGTGTGTGTGTGTGTGTGTGTGTGTGTGTGTGTGTGTGTGTGTGTGTGTGTGTGTGTGTGTGTGTGTGTGTGTGTGTGTGTGTGTGTGTGTGTGTGTGTGTGTGTGTGTGTGTGTGTGTGTGTGTGTGTGTGTGTGTGTGTGTGTGTGTGTGTGTGTGTGTGTGTGTGTGTGTGTGTGTGTGTGTGTGTGTGTGTGTGTGTGTGTGTGTGTGTGTGTGTGTGTGTGTGTGTGTGTGTGTGTGTGTGTGTGTGTGTGTGTGTGTGTGTGTGTGTGTGTGTGTGTGTGTGTGTGTGTGTGTGTGTGTGTGTGTGTGTGTGTGTGTGTGTGTGTGTGTGTGTGTGTGTGTGTGTGTGTGTGTGTGTGTGTGTGTGTGTGTGTGTGTGTGTGTGTGTGTGTGTGTGTGTGTGTGTGTGTGTGTGTGTGTGTGTGTGTGTGTGTGTGTGTGTGTGTGTGTGTGTGTGTGTGTGTGTGTGTGTGTGTGTGTGTGTGTGTGTGTGTGTGTGTGTGTGTGTGTGTGTGTGTGTGTGTGTGTGTGTGTGTGTGTGTGTGTGTGTGTGTGTGTGTGTGTGTGTGTGTGTGTGTGTGTGTGTGTGTGTGTGTGTGTGTGTGTGTGTGTGTGTGTGTGTGTGTGTGTGTGTGTGTGTGTGTGTGTGTGTGTGTGTGTGTGTGTGTGTGTGTGTGTGTGTGTGTGTGTGTGTGTGTGTGTGTGTGTGTGTGTGTCACTTTACCTAAAAATTAGATTTTTTTTTGTGTTATTTAGACAGGATGGTATTGAGGAACCAACACCGTAAAATCCTTACATTTTCCTGAGTGCAATTGAATCGCCCATTGTCGTGGTTGGCACAATGATCCTGGGTCCTCTCAAATTTGGGTGTCGCTTGGATTGTATCGTCATATTGAGACACGTCAATAATTACTGGATAGTGTCCTAGTTCATGACACTTTCTTTGTAAAAATTCCGCTTTCTGGTTACTACGGACGTAAACATAGTTTGCTGAATATAACAAGTTTGATTCTAATATTCTATTTACCTGTCCGTGGTCGACAAACCCTGATGTGTACTGGATTCCATGGACATTTCTTTCCAAGTATCTCACTGTCTTTCGGTCCATTTCATCCAGGTTGTTATACGGAATTTCTGATGTAAATAGGAAATGGTACTGCTTAAACCCAATTTCTATAGACAACTCTTTATGGTGGAAAATACCTTCAATCGTAAATCCCTGGATATCTACGAACGCAATCTTCATGGTGGATAGTGTATAGTAACAATAAAAGCTCTCGAAGAATTATAAATAATGATATATTTGCATGGGTATTTATAACGCAAAATTATCAAAATTTGCGCATGTTTTAAGATTGGCGGTTATACGAGATTAGAAATAAAAATTAGCTTGCAGATTGTTAATCAATTTCGGAATTATTTTTTTAATATTTTTAATTTATCAAGACGGATATAAAATGTGATTGTAAAAATTTGGGTAATTGTTAGTGACATTTGCAACACCTAATTTAGATATTTTGTTAATAACATGGTAGGAAATTGTGATGTGATTAGTCGCCAACTTCCTTTGCAAAAAATTATTTTGGATATTTTAGCATTATCAGAAACATGTTAAAATATGATTATAAAGTTTTGCTGATTATCGATTTCCTTTTGCAACACTTAATTAGACTTTTTACTATCACGCATTGATATGATGTTATTTTAATTAAATAACTTTGGTTTCCATAATTTTGAATATTTTTCCATTTTTTTTTTATTGTCACGTGATATTGTTTTATTTAATAGGTATTTGTCTATTAAAATCATTATTAGTGTAATGTCTTCGGAAGACTATAGACGTAAACTTGAGGAATTCGGTGAAAAAGTCCGTAATATTAGGACATAAAGTTTTATGAGGATAAAAGTAAAACTATAGAAGAATTGGCCAATTTGAAATTGTGGGATAAAGGTATTTGATAAATATCGAACCCCTACTCCTCAGTCAATTTACCCTTTAAGACGAATTGAGCCGAAACCATGTTAAATATAAATTTAATAATACTCACAACAATTTTAAACGGTATACTATATACCAATGTGCCGGATGGGGTTGATCATACGTTTGTTTTGATTTGGAGAACCTAAGACAAGATTGTACGCTTTCAAAATGGAAATTAATGAATTTGTCAATGAATGATGATAATTTGAAAACATTTTCGATAGAAATACCTATGACTGCAAAAGAGACGCTCAATTACAAATTGAAACCTATATTTGCAGACATGAGTGTCGGAGATATTCAGGCGTGGAAAACTGTTATATTAGATCAACCTTATACTGGAAATTGATTTAAGACATGTTGGAGAAGAAATACTAAGAAACGGTACTACGCAAAATGAATTTTATAAATTATTTGTTCTTACATCTTTTACTTTATCATCAATACTTATTTTATTATTAAAAATGTTAATAAAATATATAAAAAGAAAATTAAATAGTAATAAATGATTGAAAATATGTATTTGTGTTTTAATAAAACGTCATCTATTTTAAATTTCATTTATTAAATAAAAACATAACGTAAATACATTTCATTTTTTAGGTAAAATATTTATGAAACAGTAGCGTAGATGTTCGACATTTTCTTGGGTACAGTGATTTAGATTAAATTATAATTTTTACAACTTCTGTCAACGGGAAGTATTCAACCATAGAATCATGCACTATGAATTAGTAAACCTTAGTATTTGCGGGGAATCCAGTATCACTTTCAATTTCTAGTCTTACATCAACTGTGGATGATTTAGTTTTTTCTTCTTGTTTAGAACAATCGATTACAAAGAGAGCATGCTTTTTAAATTATGTATAATCTAAAAGAGAATGTTGCAATTTGAATAGCTTGAATAGAATTCCGTGTAATCGTGGAATGCCATCATATAATCATCGTTTTTGAAGTCATGCTGTATTCTTTCGTTGGGCCAGTATTCTCCATTTAACGATAACCTTATACTTGAAACATTAGCATCATCAAAGCATATAGCATTAGCCTTCACGTTACTTCGCTTATCCGTTTGAAAACATACAATTACAAAACGGGGTCGTTCTACAGATGCGCTAGTCTTGACAGACCAAATTTCTCTTTTAGCACCAGCAGTAATCGCTGGTAGTTCATTTAACTCCCACTTCCGAAATGGTATCAATATAGATCGATCCTTTTTTATAGACTCTATCAATTCGATTTTAATTTCATCGTTTGGAAATATATGTTTTACACGTAATTCTAAACTCTCAATTATTATTTTTGCCGTAGTATCTATTATACCCCCACTGGCTATAGGCTTTTCTGTTATGATTATAAAATCATTATCGTTACGGGCACGAATTAGTCGAAATATTTGATTTCCACATGTGACTAAAGTATAATCGTTTAAAACATTAAATAGATGATCCATACGCATCACCAAACTAAATTTATGTTGTTTATTCAGATGTGGCTTATTCGGATAATTCCATCCTCCGATGCTCATATGTTTTGAATCCTCAGGTTTATAGCACAACAGGGAACGTATAGTACTTACTATACCGGTATCACGAACTACTTAGAACTTTCACTGTATGAGCAAGAATCAAAGAGAAATGCTCCAAAATTGGGTGCTAGGAAAACATCTCCCCCACCATTAACATCTAATTTTACTTTAATACATAATAACGCGTCACTCATAAGGAAAATGAATCAACTGGTTTTATAATTTCCACTGCATCATTGTTATTGAATGATTTGATAAATGGCGTATAAATTCGAGACTCTACTTTTCTAAAAGATTCGTCAAATTGTGGTTTAGTGTCAAACATTTGAAACATAGGATCGATCCTCGATTTTTTATGCACGCGCTCATCTATGTCGTCCAAGGAGCGAATATATTTGCGTTTTGTCATTTTTCAATTTGAATCCTAGAGATTTAAGAAATAATCAATTTGCAGGTGTTAGCTAGCTTCGTTTGGCAGTGCGATGTGTTACTGACGAAACTGCGTGCGAAGATGGGCTTTTATATTCTATAACTAAACCCATTTAGTATTCTTTTAATTCTAAATGAATAGTACTTTTTTCACCTCGAAAATTTACCGGTCTACGATCTTGGTCGAGTACTTCCACTGTGATATTAGTTATTTCTCTTATACTGCTTACAGGTAAAAAAATAGGTGTATTCGGTCTCTCAATGATTGCGTAACCAGGATCAACAGTAATAGGGAACTCGAGGATAGTGTGAGCAGGATTATTTCCAAAGAAAGCTCCTCTAGTAATGTTACAATCAAAGTGTAAGCTTGTTACTTTTATAATATTTACGGGAAGATCGGAAAAATGTATCTTGTTAGGATCAAGTAGTTTCTTAGAAAATCCCAATATATTACCAATGTTATTATCCTTTTCAAAATTAATTGTATGATTTCGACTATAAATTTTACACTTGAGAGTATTGTTGTTAGGTTTTAAAGTGAAATCTGTATCGTCGGTGCTATTAAGTTGTTTCTTTATGTATATTTCAATATCCGATAGTTCATAACAACCGATAGGAAAAGTAATTTCTCACAGGAGTGAAGCAGAATTCATTAGTCTCACTTGAAAGGGTTAAAAGCTGCGACATGACTGATATATTTTTTAAAAAACATTAATTATACAAAAATTTCAAACATAGATGTCCACATTATCATTTATTTTTCTATACGCTACCCAATGTGTACCTTTATTTTTAGATGTATTTAGATTCAAGATTGCGGATTCGTGCTGATGAGGACCCGTCTTTGGTAAATTATCTCGCATAAAAACACCTCTGAAATGAGGTATTTTTAAGCTCTTATCGTACGTTATTAACTCCCTATCATATAAAGGTCTATTGGGTAGCTTTAATGGAAATTTTTTTGTTTTTTTAAATATAAATCGAATCCACCTTTGGGAAATTTCTTCAGATACAACCCTTTACCTATTGATTCCATTGCTTTGTTGTGACGATAATCTTCCTGTAATTTCTTTTGAGCATTCTTTGCACCTATTACAATCCTAGCAATAGCGCTGGCGCCTCCTACGAGGCTCCCTAGGGCTCCTAGGATTGGTAAAGGGGTAAAAAACCACCTGATTTTGCTTCAAATGGAATTATTCGAGGAATCTTAACATGCTTTTTGCCACCTATTTTTTTAATTGCAAGTCTCGCAGCTTTCAATGCATGTGATGCGGATTTTTTTAAATCTGATGATTGATTTTTTTAACGATTTTGTAACGTTTTTGATAATATCCCGTTTAAAGGAACAACCCATACCAAGCTTTCTTTTCACCTTCATACCGTTTGTGATAATTAAAGCTGCTGACTTTTCACCAAATTTTGCCTCTTTTGATTTATAGCATGTCCACGCAATGTCCTCTAATACTCTATCTGCTTTATGACGCTCCTCTAAGGATTTATACTGATCATACGCAATATCGTGTTCTTTGCACGCGGTGTCTAATGGATTAATACCGGAATCTCCGCGTGCAATACGCTTTTGTAGTTTTGTACCTGGCCACAAAATTCGTAGCCAGGTAGATGCAATTCAAAAGGTAGTTTTTAAAACTCCTTCTCCCTGAAATATCAACATCACAATGATAGTTTATCATATAGCTAATTTTATTTATAATGATCATCATTTTAAAAAAAGTATTACAAGATGAATGTTGTCCAACAAGAACAGACATTACCAATCGATAACTTTGATTTTGAACCCGCAAAAAACGTTCATGGAAAACATGGGAAACTCCTACCGGATTCCTTTCGTGCTATTATATGTGGTCCTAGCGGATGTGGTAAGACTAATGTAATGCTAGCACTTCTCTTCGACTTAAATGGCGCTAAGTTTAAAAATGTTTATGTATATTCAAAATCTCTCTATCAACCTAAATATCAGTTACTTCAAGAGGTTTTAAGTAACGTAAAAGGAGTTGGATATTTTCCATATAAAGATAATGATGATATTATTAGTCCTCATAAAGCCAAAACTAATTCAATTTTTATATTTGATGATGTCGCATGCGACAAACAAAATAAAATTAAGGAATATTATTCTATGAGTAGACATAAAAATATTGATGTGATCTACCTATGTCAGACATACTCAAGAACTCCGAAACAATTAGTCCGAGACAACTGCAATATAATTATGCTATTTAAAATGGATGAAATCAATTTAAAACACTTATTTGATGAACATGTATCGCCAGATATGAGTTTTGATGATTTCAAAAAGATTTGTTCGCAGTGTTGGACTGACAGATACGGTACTTTTGTGATTATAAAAGATTTTGCACTGAATTGTGGCAGATATCGCAAAGGATTCGATAAGTATATAAAAATGTAGAAACAGTATATTTAATATCATTTTTAATCAAGATGTCCGATAATCAAGTTGCAGCACGTAAAAGAAAAATTGCTGAATTGTCTCGAACGATTAGAAAGAAATACTTAGCTTTAAAACTAGGTAGATCTGAGTTGGATGAAACTTTAAATACATTATTCAAACCTATATCTGAACCACTTCAGCATATTGCAAAGTTATCAAAATCATTATCTCAACATGATAATGTTGAAAAAATTATTAATAAAGACGAGCCAGTCGAAATTAAAAAAGAATCATTAGACAATTATAATGATAATTATAATTATATTATAATGATTATCAAGGTTTTACTGAAGAATCAGGAAATGTGTACATAGATCAATATCCTGCAATATCTATTCCATTCATAAACGAATACATGAATAAAAGTAATAAAATAGACAAAAAATATGGACCCACTTATAATGAGACGTTATCAAAGTGGTTGCTTGGTGGTAAAATTGGTGGTAAAAGATAAAAGAACAGGTCTTATTGAAACAGAGAGAAAACAGATTATTGGTACACCGGGACTATTTCAATTAATATTTTACAATAAACCCGTAGGTTACAATAATGATGATTTAAAAAATTATAAATCTGTTTTAGAAACAACTAATGTTCACAGAGATACTCGAGGACGATTGGCACATAGCTCAAAATATAAATATACCAAGATTATAAAACCAATGTTCTCACGTCAACGTAATGTTGCAGGTACCGGTATGTCTATGAAATATAATAATTATCCTGTGGAGTATGTTTATTGGGACTCACCAAATGAACTTGTAGATCGTTTAAAACTTTTAGTAGCCTCTCAATCTGCCGGAAATAATTCCCATGACAATAAAATAGTTGCTATAATAAATGAACCCAGGGAAGTTAATATAATATGTTAGGGTAACACAAGATTTTTTTATCATTTGCAGTATGAGTCTCAATAAATTCGGTGGTAGGTCAATAGGTGCGCGTAGGTCGTTAATTCCGCAATTTGAAGTTACATCGGATGGTAACATAAGGGTTGAAAATATTAAAATTTGTAATTTAAAAGAACCTACCGACGCTACTGACGCTTCCAATAAATTATATGTTGATAAGCAAGTACAAATATTAAAAGAAAAAATTGATAGTTTTCAAAAGGAACTCGGTGATTATCTTTTAGAACAGTTTACTCTTTTACACGATAATACTCAAAAAGTTACTTACGCTTTAGAATATTTAAATGATAAATTAGTTGATTTAGAGAAAGCAATACATAATAAAATAATATAATATTTATTATCATTTACATGATGAGCTTAAATAAATTTGGTCATAGATCAGGGATATATAATCCTACAGTTCCTAAGCTCACATATGAATTTGTTCACACTACTGACGGTAACATAAATATTGAAAATGTAAAAATATGTAACCTAAAAGAGCCTACTATTGATACAGATGCTTCGAACAAAGGTTATGTTGATATGCAAGATCAAAAATTAAGTGAACACATATCAACATTGACTACTAGAATAGAAGATCTAAGAGATATAATTCAAAATTTACAACAAGTGAATATTTTGAATGATACAAAAATAAATAGGTTCTTCCAAAATCAAGAAGATCGTTTAAAATTACAGGATATAAGAATAGGTGATTTATCTAAGGAATTATTTAAAGTGAAAAGTAGTATTAATTCAAATATTTAAGTTAGAATATTCTTTAGAAACTGTTAGTTGATTATGAGCTAATAAAGCAGCAAGATCATGAACTTAATATTTACTTTGTTATTCTTTGTTAGTAGTTCAATATCCCAAAATATTATACCGGGTGTTTAAATTAAAATGTTACAGTTAAATACCGCCGAAAATATGAATTTTAGAAAAAAAGTTTCAGACAAAAGTTTTATAGTTTTTTGGGGGAAACATTTTGGCTAAATTCATTTTTTTATAGCTGACCATAATATGGCAATATCGAGGTGAACTTTGTTTTTTTAAATGGGAATCCCATTTTTTTCTTACATATTCTTAAAGTACATAAAAAAATAAGAAACTTTTGTGGGAAATGTTTTTTTTATTGGACATTTACTTTTTGAGTAACAGCTACTTGAAAATGTTGCTGCGCGAAAAAAAAGTTGGCCATATTATGGTTAGCTATAAAAAACGATTTTAGCCAAAAGTTTTTCCCTACAAAACTATAAAACTTTCGTCTGAAACGTTTTTTTTATATATATATATATAAAAAGTGGTATATAGCTGTAACGCTTTAATTTAGAACACCTGGTATATAATGAATCTGAAACGGTAAATTATTTAAAAAAGTATTGATATATTAAAGATTTATTTAACGCTTTAACTGACTTAAAATCTGTATCGTCTGACTCCCAGTATAATAGTTTACCGTCAGACTTTCCACCATCACCGTCCCCAAAAGACATGAGTGAGGTGAATACTGATGATGAAGATGTAGTGCCAACAACAGCAACAACCACTCAAGAAGACAACGATGAGGAGAAGCTGCAGTATTTGATGAGCACCGTTATTCCGACAGGGGCATTTTCGATTGATTGTGGCCTCAATCCTAAGCAATTTTTTAATGCCGATGTCGGATTGAGAGAAGGTAACCATATAATTAATTTCAATTATTATACATGGCTCTCTTTCATTGAGATACTCGAGAAGAGAATACTTAAATTCTTCGATGAACCATTTATATCGAATCCATCTACATTATACTGCGGATGTTCATGCCGCATAACACCTGTTACGCAGGCCTTCTCTGTTAAAAGGGTTCGAAATTGCCGAATTCCCCTAACAGAGAAGTCGCTGAAATACCTCAAGGGTGTGGGATAATTAAAAAAAAAGATTCGATTGACAGAGTGTGAAGTTAGCTTTATTTTTTTTTTGTTGAAATGTTAACCTTAATCCAAGTTGTCAAAGTTGGAAGAATAAGAAATGATTAGAATAAGATATGATTATAAAATGTTTTATATTATATCTAAATATTACTGTATGCGGGGAAAAAATATGTTAAAGGTAAAATATTTCCTATAAAAAACAGACGAATGGTTCTCCGGTTTACGCCAAGTACTTGCCGCTTACAAAATCCGGCAAATCAGGTATGCAAATGTTTCTCTATATCTATAATGAAATGAATCCCCTTAAAACCCTTAAAACTACTTATAATTATAACTACACTTATGTAAAGTATTTACAATTGCTACCGTCGTAGGGAATGCCCCCAGACCGGTTGAGGTTAGGTCGGAGCACTAAATGGGACTCAATTCGCAAAACAAATAAACAGAGACCGTCTTACTTGAAAATCCGGGGGGAAAATCCTGCGGCAGGTTATGATGGTAGATTGGCAGCAAACGGTAGCCTAACAAGAACTACCTTGTCTGTGGGCGATTTCTTTGCGAGCGGCAAAACGGCAACAGCTGATGGCCTGCTTATTTAATGCTTCAAAAGCCGGGAAACTTGCACGCCGATAGTATTTCTGTTTGAAGGTCTTCGAGAATAAAACGAAGCCAAGAAGAAACGAACGAACAAAGGGAAGAAGGAACGCACGAATGAAAGAAGCGAACCAAGGAGGTCTGGAAAACATTGACGATTGTAACGATTATTTATACAGAAGGCTGTTGGGAATATAGGTAAGTGAAAAAATAATTCATTTTGAAAAACTCACCCTTGATGGTATGTGACCTCTTAGTTATTAATTTATTAAATTCACACTTTCAGCCCGATACTATATCCACCACTAGGTGTATGAATCACAAAGATTACTAAACAATATATCGAGCTGAAGGAATCTGTGGTTTTTGATCAAGAATAAATCCTAAAAAATTCTAGCTGAAATCTTGGCACATGCCACAATCAGAATCCAAGTAAAAAACTGGCCCAGGAAGGAAGTTCTACAAAATGGAAACAAAAGTCAATGATTTATAAAGGCCCTGACTACTAAAGGTTCATAGGATAATTTCTGATAAGACTGTGGTCACTATTTACAATTTTAGAAGAATTTGACAATTGAAGGGGGTCAAATTAGACATGAAAACAATAACAAACCAAATTTAAAGTTGTTTAATATTTAAAAAATTTATAGTCATTACTCGAAGTAGCAAAATATATTTGCTTAGACTATAAATTATTATTTATTGAATGCACTAAATACTATTGATAATAACCCAGGTGAGATTATATTTTAATGCAAATTACTGTTTGATAAAAATGGATATTTTATGAATTTATACTCTGGATTTATATACCCGTACAATCTTAAATCTAAAGATAACTAAAGAGATTAGCATAGGTTATAGTAGAATAGGTAAGTAATAGGGTAGTTTAGTAACTAGAGTAGCTTAGGGTATGTAAGAATCAAATAGAAGTAGAATAGTGTACATAGTTAAGCGTAGAATAGTTTAGAAGTAGAATAATGTAAATAGTTAAGCATAGAATAATTTAGAATAGTGTAGTTTAGTTTAGAGTAGCTTAGAATAAGATAGGCTAGTAAATAGAATAAGTTAGAATAGTGTAAAATTAGGGTATTTTAGACTAAAATAGATTTAGGTAGAATAAAACCCGTAACACACCTTTAATTTATGGAGAAGTTAGAAAAATTGAGCTGTATCAGCAGGGGACAACATTCAAATTATCGGAAGTGGACGTGATGACAATATTGGACGTAAATATGAATATAGTATCAACTAGGTGTATTATGCTAAATAATTTAAATTTTTTACAATATTTTGAAAATTTAATGGAAATTATCCAAAAATATTTCAGAGATAAAAATGAGTTTAGTTTTTTAAATGTGTTCAATCTACTTCATAGTTTTTGTGATAGTAGTGATAATTTATTAAATAATATTTTAAGAGAGTACATTTTTTATTTTAAGAATGATATAATTATAATTTTAAATAACGCCCATAATAAATTAAGGTACACACAATTGTAAATACATTTATTTTTTTAATAAATTTATATTTTAAAAATTTTTTTTGTTTTATTTTTATTTTTCAGGAATAATGGTATATTTAAAAAAGAATATTTTATTTGATAGTGTTTAATCAAAATTCACAGTAATATTCAAATTATTGTGGAAAAGTAACTACCAGTGATTCTTCTGCAATACAATGTTGTCATACCTATTTCAATTTACTGTGAAAATCAGATTAAAAACAAAAATTAAATTATGGTGGATACATGGTATAACATTTGATTTTTAGTGATATCTAAAATTTTAATTATCATATCTATTTCAATTCAAAGTGAAAATTGGATTTAAAAATTCTTTAAATTATTGTGGATACATAATATAAATTTGAAAGATTTTTTAAAATTTGAATTTTCCATAATATAATAAATACTTTAAATTATGGCGGATGCGCCCTATGCATTTAATGGGATTTTTAAAAATTTAATTAAAACTACATATTTATTTATTTAGGAGTTTTATTTAGACTTTGATATACATTATTTCTATGAACTATTTCTAAAATAGGAGCTATAATTTTCTCAATGTTTGTATTTCGTTGTGAAAATCGCAATCTGTTAAAATATTTGATTCATAATCATTAATTCTTACCGGTTTGGAAGCGAATTCAATTTAAATTGAAAATTGGATTTAAAAATTCTTTAAATTATTGTGGATACATAATATAAATTTGAAAGATTTTTTAAAATTTGAATTTTACATAATACTTTAAATTATGGCGGATGCGCCCTATGAATATAATGGGATTTTTAAAAATTTAATTAAAGCTACATATTTATTTAGGAGTTCTATTTAGACTTTGATATACACTATTTCTATGAACTATTTCTAAAATAGGAGCTAAAATTTTCTCAATGTTTGTAATTCGTCGTGAAAATCGCAATCTGTTAAGAATATTTGATTCCCAATCACTAATTCTTGCCTG